AAACAAAATATTTGAGCCAAGCTACTTATGTAGGGAAGAGCTATTCAGCTCAGGTGTCATACACTCAAATACAAATGGCATGGCACAGAATTTCATTCTGGTGGAAACAGTAGCATGTGCAGAAGATGCATGCTATTCTAGATACCAGAATGGCTGAGCCCAAGCTCAGGATTATAGCAGAATGGACTTGAGAACTAACTCCAATGGTCATGAACTCAATCATATAAGGACCTCTCACTAGGCCTCACTACTCCCAACAGTACCACCCTGGGGACCAAGCCCTTAATACATGGTCCTTTGAGGAAAGTTCAGTATCCAAACTAATATCCTACCAAGGTGGAACAATGCTAGGGACAGTCTGCGCCACTCCCTGAAATCTGTCACTAAGCAAGTCAGCATCCCTTTGGGTGTCAAAACCTCTTGTATGGGAAGAATTAATTGCCTTTCCTAATCTAAGGGCTTACATCAGTGTATTTACAATTCGACATATGGACTTGCTTTAGATAATGTTAATTGTGTTGGGGACATCAAATCAGATAGTCAAGAGCCAGTGGGACCTGGCCCTATTTCCTCCATCAGTCCTCATCAAGAGGTTGACCCTACATCAGTGTCACAGAGCAGGTTCTTTATTCCAGTTTGATCTGTATATCTATGGCCTTGACATCCACAATGCACACAGGTGTGGGTATCCATATTCTCTTCATTGATGACTCAGGGTCAGGGGAAAATTGCTAAGGTCATCAGAATCCAAATTGTTTCTCAAGGGTGTGCTCTTCCAAGGATATTGGGCAAGTTTCTAACGTGCAGTGTTTGGGCCACAGGAACATGGGTGATATGTGGTGCCAACAGCCCCCTTTTCCTTCATTGGAGTCACTACAGGGAGCAATTCCATGAGATTTTGCTTTTTTCCTTATAAAATAGTGTTTCCTCCTGTATCCAGTGAACCAGCTCCCCAGGAGTTGGATGCAATCCAAAATTCCAACTGGATGTAGACCTCCAGTCACTGACTGAAACAGAACTTCTGCCTACATTAGAATTGAGCACTCTGACATCCAGGGATCACAAGTTCCTCACCCCCACCACTCTGACTCCTTCCTTCTCCTCCATGCCTCTTGAGTCAGGGCCATCCTCTACTGTTTGTGGACAACACTCACACAGAATCTCAGGAGGTCTCAGAATCGATTTCTCCTATAGTTTCTACCCAACACAGTCCACAACTGACACCAAATGTGTTAGAATGCTCTCCACACCCCAACAACCAATTCTGCAGCAGCTGAAACCAGCTGGGTGACCTCCCATTAAACTGGATTCAGTCCTGCCCCGATCTGGGAGAGGAGAGTAAGGATCCCATAAGTAGGGCTCAGTTCCCAGCTCTGATTCAGAGGTTGGCCCAGGAATTACAGGATACAAATTTGGGTTTGCACAGCATCACCCTCAGGTTCATTTAATTTGCTAAGTGGCTAATTGGATTCAAGGAAACACATTTTGCTGCACAATTTAAAGGATACAAATAGGCAGCCAGATGAGGAGATATAGAGGATAAGAGCAGGAAAGGCCCAAGTCTGTGGGTTGTATCTTTGGATTGGGGAGACCTCTCCCAGCAGGGGGATTCCTTCCTGCTTACAGGTACATGGCTCCACATAAACCACTATACAGAACCTGAAACACTGTATTTGGGGAGGTACTGGGGACTTCATGGGCATGATTGAGATAGACTGGTGTAGGGCCCTGCATGGATTCTTCAGACTCCTTCCTCACCACAGGAACCCTCTTGCATTAATTAGGTCTTAGCACCTACTATGGGACAATCACACAGCACAGAATTTCATTATGGCAAGCTAATGGCTGGAGATTACAGTTCCTATGTTGCATCCTGGAGAAAGAATTATAGTTTCTGTGCCTCGTTGAATGAAGTGATGAGCCATGTACCAGGGGCAGAAACCAAATCTATCAACATATTCATATATTCTATAATGTCAAACATACATGAATCTGTGTGCACAGGAAAGTGAGTTCATCATTGCTTCAATGTTGTGCTCAGGGCACAGATGAACAACTCTTTCAAAATAGCAAGCTTGGAATTCATAACATGGGCCATTCTCATTTATTAAGTCATCGCTATCACTTTGTGGCTGGCAACTCTTGCCAGCTGCACACTATCAACCATGGGACGCAGTGTTAGTGGAAAGCTACTCAACAGGTAGTTTCTTAGAAGCTGACCCCAGGTCAGGAAATCTAATCAGAAAATGTTCTGTGTGGTAGTGTGATAACAGGTGGCATTTACAGACTGATAAGGGCTATTAGTCAGGACATGTACCCTATATAAGAAGTGGATCTAGTGTGCTGTTATACACCTTCCACTGCTCCTGCCTTCCCCACTGACTTGGGAGTCAGGAAGAACCATGAAGTGGCTGCTGCTGCTCAGCCTGCTGGCACTCTCTGAGCATCGTCCACAGGTGAGTTTGGAGTTGGGCAATGGGAAGAGTGGCTCCAAGGGACAACGTCCCAGCTCTCAATGATCTCCCATTCCCCTTATCTTTCTTCTCCTATTTTTTTTGACAGGCAGAGTTAGACAGTGAGAGTGAGAGTGAGAGTGAGAGTGAGAGTGAGAGTGAGAGTGAGAGAGAGAGAGAGAGAGAAAGGTCTTCCTTCCATTGGTTAACCCCCCAAATGGCTGCTATGGCCGGTGCGCTGTGTCAATCCGAAGCCAGGAGCCAGGTGCTTCCTCCTGGTCTCCCATGCGGGTGCAGGGGCCCAAGCACTTGGGCCATCCTCCACAGCCTTCCCGGGCCACAGCAGAGAGCTGGACTGGAAGAGGAGCAACTGGGACTAGAACCCAGTACCCATATGGGATGCCAGTGCCGCAGGCAGAGGATTAGCCAAGTGAGTCATGGCGCCGGCCTTCTCTCCTATTTCCATCCATCCCTTCCTTCCAGTCTTCCATCATCAGGGGTCTTCCTTCCCTATCTATCTTTTCGAGCTCCTGGGGAGGCCATGCTGTGGCATGGTTTTAAAGCCCAGGTCCTGAGTCCAGCTGGGTTTGGGTTTCAGTCCATCACTGACCAGCAGTCACCCTCCCTGCCACCCTGTACACTGTTGGGCAACAGATATGAGCTTCTGCCACCTCCTTCCATCACTTCTCTTGAACCAGTTTCCTTGTCCTTCTCTGGCTCCTGTAGCATCCCCTGAGCAGGATCCTTGCCCAGTTGCCCCTCCTCCCCTAACCATGCCTGCACCAATGCTCTGCCCCAGGGTTCCCCTGGTCAGAAAGAAGTCCTTGAGGAAGAACCTGATTGAGAAGGGCTTGCTGCAGGACTACCTGAAGACTCACACCCCCAACCTGGCCACCAAGTACTTCCCCAAAGAGACCTTCGCCTCAGTGTCCACTGAGAGCCTGTAGAACTACCTGGATGTGAGTGCATGGGCAAGGGGAGGGACAGCCACAAGGACTGAGCCAGCAACAGAGAGAATTTCTGGGGGAAATGGATGACAGCCAGAGACTGCTCACGGACCTTAGCAGCCCACAGCAATAGGAAACACAATCACAACTTCTGCTCTCAGTTGTTCATCATTCGTTCATTTCTTCTTTCAAAGTTTGTTTTTCCTAAGTGCCCTGTTATGTGTCAGGCCTTGTGTTCGGCCCAGGCGGCAGCACTGAGCAAAGTCATAGTTACCTAAGGGGAGAATGATGATCTCACTGAGCCTCACCACCCAGTGAGAAGCAAGACTAGGATTGGGGCCACCAAGTGAAGGTGTCACTAAATGAGCAAGCAACTCCTGGAGGATAAGGAGAACTCCTGGGGGCAGTGAAAGAAGAACAGGAGTTTCAAAGTGGTGGGACAGAATTCCAGAGAGCAGGAGGACTTGTGCCAGATATTGAAAAAGTACCGGCTGGCGCCGTGGCTCAATAGGCTAATCCTCCGCCTTGCGGTGCCGGCACACCGGGTTCTAGTCCCAGTCGGGGTGCCGGATTCTGTCCCGGTTGCCCCTCTTCCAGGCCAACTCTCTGATGTGGCCAGGGAGTGCAGTGGAGGATGGCCCAAGTGCTTGGGCCCTGCACCCCATGGGAGACCAGGAGAAGCACCTGGCTCCTGCCTTCGGTTCAGCGCGGTGCGCCGGCCACAGCGCGCCGGCTGCGGCGGCCATTGGAGGCTGAACCAACGGCAAAAGGAAGACCTTTCTCTCTGTCTCTCTCTCTCTCTCTCACTGTCTACTCTGCCTGTAAAAAAAAAAAAAGTACCTACTAAGTGGCAGAGACTAGCACATGTTGAGGGCACAACAGTGAGTAAACCAAGGTCCTGGGGCTTAATATTCAAGAGAGGAAGACAAACAAAACAACATATGAGATGAATTCAAGTCACAAGAGGAGCCGCAAAGCATAACTGATTAATTACATGATTGGACAAAGGGCAAGAAGAAACAGAGGGGAAAGAACAAATTTGGATAAACTGATCAGGGAACTTGTCTTAGCAGATGTGACATTGGATGAGAGCTCTGAATGAAGAAGGAGACAGCCAAGGAAAGATTCAGGAAAAACAAAACATTTTGAAGCAAAAGGAATAGCCAGTGCAATTGTCCCAGAGTGGGATGGATCTTGTTATTATCTAAGAATAGCACAGACACTAGGGGAACTAGAACAGAGATGGCAAGCAGGAAACTGCTGACACCAAAAATAAATACGCTGCTGTTCATCCCGTGGGTTAGCAATGAGAGATTTCCATTAGATCCGATGTTTACGTGACTTATGTGACTTCCCCTTAGCAAGCTGATGAGCAAGCACTTGAGTCTTGAATCGCTGGGTGACCCAGGTCATATCCCATCCTCTGAGAAGGTGTGGTCTCCAGAAAGGCCAGACTGACACAGGCAGGGCACTGGCTGAGATGGACAGAAGATCTGCATTGGTTGATGTGCTAAGTAACAGCTCACAGGCAATGAGGGAGAAATCAGAGAAGACTTATAGCACACAGGGCGACTAGGCCTGGGCTTTGTATGAGGGTATAATGAACGGGCAGGTGAGAAGAAAGAAGAGGCAGAGGGAGACTGAGAGCTACTCTGAGGGAGGCCCAGATAGGCAGTTGCAGGTCCTTGAGCTGTGCTGTCCTTGCCCCTGCAGACAGAGTACTTTGGCACTATCAGCATCAGAACCCCCCCTCAGGACTTCACCGTCATCTTTGACACCGGCTCCTCCAACCTGTGGGTGCCCTCCACCTACTGCTCCAGTGCTGCCTGCAGTGGGTGCTGCCATGCCCAGTCCTGTTTGCCCCTTGCTGCCCAGCAACAGCTGATGCTGGGAATCCTGACCACTCAGTGACTTCTTACAACCCCCCAATTAAAGCATGTAGGAGTCACTCAGGAATTCAAGAAACAGGCCTTGCTCAGACAGCTACTGGAAATCAAGTACAAGGAAAGGGTGCTCTGGGGGAAAAAGGAACACTTGGGAGTGGTCAGATAGACTCACAGAGGAGAAATCCTGTAAGGGTCCAAAGTGAAGCAGGGATGAAGGGCTCTAGGCTGATAAGACAAACTGAGTCCCTTGTGACACAGTGGATTTAAGCTGGGCAGGAACATCATGGAGATGAGTGAGGAACTCATTAAACGCACACAAATACACACATACACACACACAAACACACAAACACACACACATCATTGCCGTGCTAATGAAAGAGACTTTGTCATTAGAGCCAGCACAAGGTTTCAAGCTCCATCCTCTCCAGGCATCTTGACCTGATTTTAATTAAGACAAGGTACCTGTGACATTGCCCATGGCCTAACACTTGGCTGTGCAGGAGGCCGCTTCTGTGCTCCGCACCATAGGCAGCAGGCCACTGTGCTCAGTGTCTGCGGCACCTGGGGAGGACACAGGGTCGGCTGGACTGTTGACCAGTGACAAGGCGCCAACTGCTCAAAGGGAAGGATGTGGAAACTGGGTCTCTAGATCTCCAAAGGTCATCTCAAAAGTTGCCATGGAGCCAATGCCATCATTTTCCTCCATAGCTCCACCCAAGGCCCCATCCCAGGAAGACATTTTAAACCCATGACCATTGCCTGCCCTTGGGGGTTAATGATGTCACTCCTTGCCTTTGCAGCCATCCATAACTGATTCAACCCTGATGACTCCTCCACCTTCCAGGCCACCAGTGAGACGTTCGCACTGGCAGCACGACGGGCATCCTGGGATATGAAACTGTGAACGTGAGCACCTAACAGCTATGCTCCCTCACAACTGCCTAGCCTTACACAGAATGCCCAACAGCAAGCTCATTCTAACAGTATGGGTATCAGAGATCACACAAGTGACCAAACTGGGCACTGCAGGGAGCGATGTGGCAGAGTCCATCTGGGGGCTGAGCTGTATGGGAATAGGGGAATGGCCTTGGGGGCCATCAGCCGACCTCAGTGCTGAATGTCATGGAAGAAGCAATGAGGAGAGACCCAAGAGCTCAGTTCTCTTTTGGCATCTCTCCCCTCCTACCTCCTCCTCCTCCTCATAATCACATGAACTCCAGGGCATGGTGGGGAGGAGTGCTCTAATTTACTGCAGTTTGCTTTGCATCTACCCATCTGAAATGCAAATGCAGAGTGACCATCCATAATGTAGCAGAATCTCACGGTGAGACACACTGTGGCCATCAGGACAACAGGTGCCAAGGTTCTGTCCAATCATGACCCATAAGCATTCTAGGGGATAATCCCTCTCCCTGCCTGAAGCTTGATGTTCTGGAAGTTGAGTCCTCCAAAAAAAGAGAAAGGATCACTCTGAGTTCAGGGCTGGATCCCAGCAGTGATCCATGTACAGGAGCTCATGGTGGACATCATCTCTGTCACACCCCACACCCTCAACACAGGTTGGAAGCATCGAGGACACCAACCAGATCTTTGGGCTGAGTGAGTCAGAGCCTGGCTCCTTCCTGTACTACACTCCCTTCGATGGCATCCTGGGTCTGGCCTACCCCAGCATTTCCTCCTCTGATGCCACGCCCGTCTTTGACAACATGTGGAACGAGGGCCTGGTGTCCCAGGACCTCTTCTCCGTCTACCTGAACTCGTAGGTTGCACAGTTCTGGGTCTCTCCTACACTGAACATATCACTTGGCCCAACATGGGATTCATTCAGGGCAGGGTGAATTATGCAGGATCTTAGAAGAATGAGATTTTTCAAAGCCAGCATCAAAGTCTGGAGAAGGGTGTCTTTGGGCAGTAATGCTGCCAACTCTCTCTCTGACAAGCTGTCAGCATTCACTATTATTTACCAGCTGAAGTCGTTGACCACTGACTTGCTCAACTGCAATGCCATAGCGATTTGGTCTCCAGAACTGATTCCCTCATCCCTGGATCTCAAAAGACAAAATTAAATGTGCACCCCCTTTTTTAAGGGGTCACGTTTCACAGGAAAAAGGACAAGACATTATTGACACTGAGAGGGCACTTAAAAAGTTCACAGAAGTTGAAATTAAAAGGTACATTCAGGCACTCAAGATATGTGGTTAAGTCACTGTGTGGGGTGCCAGCGTCCCATATCAAGGGTCTGTTTTGAGTGCTGGTTCCTGTACTTCTGAATCAGCTTCCACATAATGCCCACCCGAGGAGGCAGCACAAGTATACTGAGGTGCTTACATCACTGCCACCCATGTGGAAGACACAGATTGAGTTCTGTGATCCTGGTTCCACCCTTGGCCTGCAATGGCTTTTATGGATAGTTGGAGAGTGAACCAGTGGATAAAAGATTCCTATCTGTCCCCGTCTGTCTCTCTAGCTGTCTGACTTTCAAATTTAAAAACAAGAAAAAGTTTACTTTGGTGTAAAAACCTTGAAATTTTGCATGGTTCAACTATAGGCACGTATATATGCATGTATTTTAACTTTTACCACTTTCACTAGGGAATGAATCAGTAGAGCAACTCACACTCATGTGGGAAGCTGATCTCTAGTCCTCTTGATAGTAATGTTGTATCTTGCCATATTACATAATCCTTTTATCATTTGAATTTCTTTATAATTTATGTAACGTTTTCCAAATATATTACTGACTTTTATAACAGAGATAGACTTAATTAGTTTTTATCATTTTCATGTATCTAATTCATCTCTAGTATAAAGTGGAAAAGCAGCAAGGATAGTAGACATCCTTGCACTGTTCCGGGAAATGATGAAAATGCTTCTAAAGTTCTTCATTAAATAAGATACTGGGTTTTTGATGGCTGTATGTATACTTTAGGTTTTGAAGTATATGATTTACTGAATAATAAGGATTATTATATTAACAGTGATGTTGATTTATTGACTGGTTTTCATTTAATATTAAGATGATTAAAAAAAAGAAATTTTGCATGGGTACTTTTAAACACCCATTTTCCTTGAACATTTGGCATGTTCCCTGGATGAACATATTCAACATATTATGCATCAATACAAATCCTAGGAATATATAAATTCCTAGGAAAATAAAATCAAAATTCACCTGATGAAATAAACTCATATATCTTGAACAAAGAAATGTTAAAATAATTAAAGCAATGAATTTTATTCAACAAAATGTAGGCTCTAAGTATGCAATGAGTTAATTCTAAGAATGAAAAGGAATAAACCAGGATAGCTTTGGTTGGGCAATCTTATAGCCAAGAGTATCCAGGGCTGTCACCAACCTTCCTCTGTCCCTCTTACTCCTCCTGACATACTTGGTCATCAATAATGTTTTCCTTCACTTGTGAACAAAACTGGTACAAGTTGCATTGCACTCTCAGGTGTTTACAGCAAAGGTGGGCTGGTTGTGTTTCATACTTTGCCAGTTCTTTGGATACTAGTTTCTTGTTACCATCTATATCTGCATCATAATCTAACCATAAAGAGTAGATAATTTAGAAGATGGACTCTGAGATAACACAGACACCAACGGGAGGGCTCCTTTATCTTTTGTGCCTGTTGTCCATTCAAAATTAGGGAACCCATATACCATCTGCTTTCATAAGTACTCATATACCTTAAGGGCCACTGCATCTCTGGAGATAGAGACGACAGTTATTCCAGTTGAGCACAATGAACATTTGGGGTCGGGTAGGTCAATGTTCTCAGGCTATTACATGCACTGTATGGTGTGTAGCAGATGCCTGACCCTGAACTCATGGACCTCAGTAAAAACCCTGCCCCTACTAAATCAGATCAACAGAAATGTCTCCAGACATGTGGAACACCAGCCCTGGCTGAGAACCAGCAAAGCACGCCATCAAACCATTAATATCCAGGACTGTCCCATGTGCACTTCCATGGCATCTCTAGTGAGTATCAATGTGCTAATCACACAGCTGGGAATCCAAATGTTCAAGGGTCCACTCTTGACTGCCCCTTGCCAGCTGTGTGATTTAAGCAATGTGACATATTTCTCTGCTTCAGTGTCTTTGTGTAGTGGGAAAAAATACTACTACCCACTGTGTGGACAATGGAATAAGATGAAAAGAACCCAGTCTGTCACACATTTAGCACAGCTCCTTGAACTAATAATTATCCCATCAAGGGTAGCTCTTTGACTATACATAGCAGATATGTAACACAAAGTAAATGAATTCCTGTCTCCTCCCCTCATTTTCCACAGTGATGAGCAGAGTGGCAGCCTGGTGATGTTTGGTGGCATCGATTCTTCTTACTACACTGGAAGCCTGAACTGGGTGCCTGTTTCTTATGAAGGCTACTGGCAGATCACTGTGGACAGGTGAGAAGACCATGGATGCATGGTGTCCCAACCTGGGCCCCAATCCCAATTCTTTATCAACTTGAAATTCCGTCATCTGCCTGGAACACCAAGCTACAGGGAAGCTGAAAACTGCCCAAAGCCAAAGACAGCCCAGAAAAGTGCTGCACTTCAAGGAGAGAGGACAGGAGGCTTTAGGAAGCCAAGCTCTTCTACAAGGGTGGGACCACCACTTCATGTGGTCCAGGTGGCAGGACCACAACCCAGCACACCCTAGGAATGGTTGCACACACTCCTGTCCATAATTCTCAGCATTTAGGGAACCTAGAAAACACCACACACCCTCCTTGAGGAACAATGTCAGTGTCAGTCTAGAATTAAGGTGAAATGACTGAGAAATTGTCTCGGGCCATGCTGCCCCAACCCCGTTGTAGCCTGAGTTTTCAGCTGTTCAGGTCTGAGGAGGAGCCATCTGGGGTCTCAGGTATTACCCATGCATCTCCCACTCAGCATCACCATGGATGGAGAGACCATCGCCTGTGCTTATGGCTGCCAGGCCATTGTGGACACAGGCACCTCTCTGCTGGCTGGCCCCACCAGTGCCATTTCCAACATCCAGAGCTACATTGGAGCCTCTGAGAACTATGAGGGGGAGGCAAATCCAGCCCCTAATGCTCTCTTCTAGCCATAGTTTGTGGGAGTGCCATGCGCAAGGAATGAACCCCTTCTAATCTCCCACATTCACACCTTCCAGATGATCGTCAGCTGCTCATCCATGTACTCCCTGCCCAACATTGTCTTCACCATCAATGGAGTCCAGTACCCTGTGCCCCCCAGTGCCTACATCCTGGAGGTAAGGGACCACTCGGCCAGTCACAGGATGGGCCCAAACTCAAGGTGGCCACACACTACCCTCTGCACAAGGAAAAGAAGTGTTTACTCATCGAATCCAAGAGACAACTGACACCTGCTCTGCATGGCCTTCAGACAAAAAGAATATATTCACAAGGGATGGATGAATGAATATTTAGACGAAGCCCTGAAGGGAAGTGATGCAAAAATGATGGTGTGAAAAGGGGATGCTCTCCGTATAGACACCTGCATATGAGCCCTGTGTCTCAATGTACTGCCCATTCATTTCTAAGCAAGGTGCGACTTTTCAAACCCTCTGTTTCCTAATTCATCTGAAAACAGTCGTGTCAACTCACTCAATCTCCAGAGTGTAGTTACAGGGATGCTTGAGAGTGACCACATTCTGAACCAATGAGCCAAAGAATGCTCCTCACCTCCTACTAATCTTCCATGTGCAAACCAGTTTTTTCCAGTTAGCTGACCTTCCTCAGCGAGAAATACTCACATCTGGGGCTCTCCCCAGGCCAGTGTAACCTGCATCCAAGGCTGAGTCAAGTAACCCTGGGAAGGGAAAGAACCCACAGCTGTGCATTATATCCTTGGCCAGGGTGGGAATAATAAGAGGCTGTGCCATCTAGATATCCAAACATTCTTCCCCCAAGATGAGCTCTCCCTATACATCAGTGCTGAGTTCAGGGTTCCTTGTCTGCCAACAACAGCAGAAAATGTTCAGCAATACATGCACACCAGGTATTGACTGACGCCAGTCCTGCAAAAGTCACATTCCAGCCCACAGAGACAGGCAGCCCTTCTTTGCATGGGCCTTGTTGCCAGATCAGGAAGCACCTGCCACCCTCACCCTGTTTCCTATCTCAAATGCTGTTCTCTGTTATGCAGGAAGATTCTGTCTGCACAAGTGGCTTCGAGGGCATGGACGTTGACACCTCCACCAGTGAGCTCTGGATCCTGGGTGACGTCTTCATCCGCCAGTACTTCACCGTCTTTGACCGGGCCAACAATCAGCTTGGCCTGGCTGCCGCAGCTTAAACCTACAGCTTTCAAACCACTTCCAGAGAGATCTGGCCTCAGTCCTTTTCCCCCTTAAATGTATAGAATTCTGATTGAACTCCCTAAAATGAAGTCACATTCTAGTTGAAGTAGATGCCTGATCCTGTTCCCAATCATACCAAAAATGGTAAATAAAAACAGCTGATGAAAACAGGTGTGTGGCTCCTTCTCACTAGTATTTCTCCAAACATCTTTTGGATCAGCACACCAGGCAGACATGCAGAAATGAACTCTTCCATTTGGACATCTCCAAAAACAGAGACATTTCAATATGTCAAATAAAAAATGCACTGGAAAGCCTTAAAAAAGACATGGTGAGTCATAAGAAAGCATATAGAAGCTATAAGATGAATCATGGGAAACATTTCAATCAGACCAAAAAAAAATAAGGAGAAAGGGAGGAAGAATTTAGAAAAATTTAAAAAATGTTTGAGATTTACTGTATACTATCATTGACCCAATCCAAAGGACTTAGTAGTTCCTGGAGCTGTGGACAGAGAAAATGGATTAGAAGGCCTATTCAGAGAAATAATTACAGAAAAAATCCCTAATTTGAGAAAGAAATGAACACTCAGTATACAAGGCACAAAAAACTGCTAATAGACATGACCAGAAAAGATCTTCACCACAACACTTTCTAGTCAAATTTTATTTTTTTAAAAGATTTATTTATTTATTTATTTGAAAGATGGAGTTACAAAGAGGCAGAGGCAAAGAAAGAGAGAGAAACTTCCATCCACTGAGTCACTCCCCAAATGGCCACAGTGGCTGGAGCTGGGCCAACCTGAAGCCAGGAGCCAGGAGCCTCTTCCAGGTCTCCCATGCAGTTGCAGGGGCCCAAGTAGTTGGGCCATCTTCCACTGCTTTCCTAAGCCATAGCAAAGAACTGGATCAGAAGAGGAGCAGCCGGGCCTCGAACAGGCGCCCATATGGGATGCCAGCACTGCAGCTGGCAGCTTTACCCATTATGCCACTGTGCTTGCCCCTGTAGTCAAATTTTCAACAGTACAACAAAAAGAAAATATTCTAAAATGTACATGAGTGGATTGTCAGATTACTTTCAGAGGATCTACAATTAGACTCACAGATACTTTCTGTTCAAAAACCCTACAGGCTGAGACAATGGAGAGACATAGTCCAAGTCTTCAAAGAAAAAACTGTCAACCCAGAATATGGTACCCTGAAAAGCTCACATTTATGAATTAAGGTGAAATAAAGACTTTCATACCAAACAGAAATTGAAAGAATTTCTCACCACTCATCCAGCCATACAAAGATGCTTCTGGGTGTGCTGCTATACACAGAAACACATAAACATGTTCATCACTATGAAAGAAAATGAAGGCAGAAAATTTCCCAATGAAAGTACAAAGGAAACCCAAAGCAAATGATAGGAATATTTATAGGAAATGGCAGGGCCAACTCATTACTTATCAATAGTCACTTGAGTGTAAATGGCCTCAACTCTCCAATTAAAAGATAGATATTGGCTGGATGGATTAAAAAACAAGAGTCATCTATTTGCTGCTTACAAGAAACACATCTCACCAACGAAGATACACACAGACTAACAGTTAAAAGACAGAAAAAGATATTACATGCTAACAGAAAGCCAAAATGAGCAGATGTAGGCATCCTAATATAAGATAAAATACACTTTAACACAAAAATGTATCATTAGCCATCAGGGAAAAGGCTATGGAAGCCTCTTAAATTAGCCAACTCCAATATTATTCAGACAAGGTCATAGTCAAAGTTGAAGTTCTCTCCTCCCCCTTGGAATAAACTTAACCAAGGATGTCAAAGATTTCTATGATGAGAATTACAAAACCTTAAAGAAAGAAATAGAAGAGGATACCAAAAAATGGAAAAATCTTCCATGCTCATGGATTGGAAGAATCAGTATCATCAAAATGTCCACCCTTCCAAAAGCAATTTACAAATTCAATGCTATACCAGTCAAAATAAAAAGACATTCTTCTCAGATCTGGAAAAAATGATGCTGAAATTCATATGGCGGCACGGGAGAAGTCAAATAGCTAAAGCAATACTGTAAAACAAAAAAGTACTAGAGGCATCACAATACCAGATTTCAAGACATACTACAGGGCAGTTATAATCAAAACAACATGGTACTGGTACAGAAACAGATGAATAGACCAATGGAACAAAATAGAAACACCAGAAATCAACCCAAACATCTACAGCCAACTTAGATTTGATCAAGGAGATAAAACCAATTCCTGATGCAAGGATAGCCTTTCAACAAATGGTGCTGGGAAAACGGGATTCCCACATGCAGAAGCATGAAGCAAGACCCTTACCTTACACCTTACACAAAAATCCACTCAACATGGATTCAAGATCTGAATCTATGAGCCGACACCATCAAATTATTAGAGAACATTGGAGAAACCCTGCAAGATATAGGTACTGGCAAAGACTTCTTGGAAAAGATCCCAGAGGCACAAGAAGTCAAAGCCAGAATTAACAATGGGGAATACATCAAATTGAGAAGTTTCTGTACTTCAAAAGAAACAGTCAGGAAAGTGAAGAGGCAACCAACAGAATGGGAAAAAATATTTGCAAACAATGCACTGATATAGGATTAATAACCCGAATCTATAAAGAGATTAAGAAACTCCACAACAACAAAACAAACAACCCACTTAAGAGATGGGCCTTGACCTAAATAGACATTTTTCAAAAGAGGAAATCCAACGGCCAACAGACACATGAAAAAGTGTTCATGAACACTAGCCATCAGGGAAATGCAAATCAAAACCACAATGAGGTTTCATCTCACCCCAGTTAGAATGGCTTACATACAGAAATCAAAAAACAACAGATGCTGGCGAAGATGGGAGGGAAAAGGCACACTAATCCACTGTTGGTGGTAATGGAAACTGGTAAGGCCACTATGGAGACAGTTTGGAGATTCCTCAGAAATCTGAATATAGCTCTACCACAAGATACAGCCATACCACTGCTTGGAATTTATCCTAAGGATATTAAATTGGTAAATAAAATAGCTGTATGCAGGTCAGTGTTTATTGCAGCTCAATTCACAATAGCTAAGACATGAAATCAACCTAAATGCCATCAACATAAGACTGGATAAAGAAATTATGGGATATGTACTCTATAGAATCCTACACAGCAACCTAATATGTTATCCCTCTTAGTATTTTTGTTTGTTTGTTCTACTTAATACTTTCGGTTGAATACTGTAATCAATACACAATTATTCTTAAGTGTTGAAACTTAACTGAAAAGTGATTGCTGTTAAATATAAGAGTGGGAATAAGAGAGGGAAGAGATGTACAATTTGGGACATGCTCAAGCTCACTTACCTCAAACGGTAGAGTTAGAAACATACCAGGGGATTCCAATTCAATCCCATCAAGGTGGCATGTACCAATGCCATCTCACTAGTCCCAGTGATCAATTTCTGTTCACAACTGATCATATGATAGGACTAAGAACCAAAAGGATCACATAAACAAGAATAAAGTCTGCAAATACTAGCTGATAGAATCAAAAAGGGAGAGAATGATCCAACATGGGAAGTGAGATACACAGCAGACCCATAGAATGGCAGATGTCCTAAACAGCACTCTGGCCTCAGAATCAGCCCTTAAGGCATGCGGATCCGGCTGAAAAGCCCATGAGAGTATTTCAGGCATGGAAAGCCAAGACACTCTGGGGGAAAAAAAAAAAACTAAATAAAAGATCTCCACGAGTGAGATCCCAGTGGTAAGAACGGGTCATCCAAGAAGGAGGTACCTTTCTCTGAAGGGAGAAGAGAACTTCCACTTTGACCATGGCCTTGTTCAAATATGATCAGAGTCAGTGAACTCAGGGGGTTTCCATAGCCTTGGCAGCTCATGACAAGAGCCTAGGGTGATTACTGATGCCATAAACAAGAGTGTCAAATTGTTAAGTCAACAACAGGAGTCACTGTGCACTTACTCCTCATGTAGGATCTTTGTCCTTAATGTGCTGTACATTGAGATTTAATGTTATAACTAGTACTCAAACAGTATTTTTCACTTTATGTTTCTGTGTGGGAGCAAACTGTTGAAATCTTTACTTAATGTATGCTAAACTGATCTTTTGTATATAAAGAGAATCGAAAATGAATCTTGATGTGAATGGAAGGGGGGAGGGAGTGGAAAGGGGAGGGTTGCGGGTGGGAGGGACGTTAATGGGGGAAGCCATTGTAATCCATAAGCTGTACTTTGGAAATTTATATTCATTAAATAAAAAAAAGGATACTACACAGCAGTAAAAAAAATGAAATCCAGCCATTTGCAACAAAATAGAGGAATCTGGAAAACATCATGTTGAGTGAAATAAGCCAGTCCAAAGGGAAAAATATCATACATTCTTCCTGATCGGTGAAACTAACTGAGCACCTAAAAGGAAACCTGTTGAAGTGAAATGGACACTATATGAGAATCTATGACTTGATCAGCCCTTGTTCTGACTGTCAAGGAACAGCTTACTATTTGATTCCTTTTAGTATTTTTTTGTTTTACTTAATACCATTGGTTGAACTTTTTGATTAACACACAATTATTCTTAGGTGTTTAGATTTAACTGAAAATTGATCCTTGTTAAATATAAGAGTGGGAATAACAGAGGGAGGAGATATACAGTTTAGCACATGCTCAATCAGACTTACCCTAAACGGTAGAGTTAGAAAGATGCCATGGGGGTGAGTTCCAAGATGGCAGAATAGAAGGGAGCACACCGATGGTCAGAAAGGGAAGGTTCAAAGAGGGGTGAGAGTTTGTGGTTTCGGGGAAAGGGAAGCTCTTCCAAATGAGGGAGACAGGGTGGACCTGCGAGGAGGACACGGACGCCTGAGGAGCAGGACACCAGCAGGAGTGAGTACGCACCAGCGCTGGAAGCCAAGGTGAGACAGGGCACTCACCCAGCACCGCTGTAGCAGCTGCCGCCTCCCCTCCCCCAAC